ACTGCTGCTTCAGTTTGTGTGTGTTGGCCAGCTCCACCTTTTGTTTTTCCAGATTCCGGTATTTTTCTTGTTCCAGAAGGAGGTTTAGCCGAGAACCGTGGCCCCGACCAGCCTTCTCACTCTCTTGCAGGAGTAGCCTATGGAGCTCCCTATGGCTGTCCTGGATAGCTAATGCTGCCTAGACACCACAACAAAATCAGACACACATGTTTAAATATTAGCACTAATCCATTCCTATACTTTTTACATGGAAGCATTATATAAAAATGCTTCAACTTTCCATAATAGCCACACTTAATGCTTTTTGGGATGTTACTGCTCACGCAAGTGAAGAAAATTCTGTGTTCATGCTTTTATCAAGAGCTGTTTCTGAAAGCACCCAACCATTTCAAGCACTTTTAACATGGCTACTGATTTGCACTTAGTATTACTATATGTCTATGTTAAAGATGTGCATATGCACTTCAATTACAGCTGGTGTCCTGTTCTGTCAGAAGATGTTAAGACACATAGGAAAAAATATTTTTCATTGTTAAAGAGGCATTAAAACACTGGGAATGCTACATGTGAAGTACTCCTAACACAGATGTGGCTTATCCAGATAAAACTGTACTGTTTCCAGCATAGCTACCTTCAGCCCTAAAGCTCTCCTCACTAACTTGCAACAGTGCAGTCCTACTAACATCAGTCCCAAAGGCACCTGCTGCCACAGCCACATGCACCTGACTGAGATATCTGCGCTGGCAGAAATCTGCACTACAGTAATAATTTCAGTTTGGGTATTTAATTAGTTTATTTTACTACTTAGAGCCCTATATTCTGTCTTTCACAAGGATGTTGTGACACACTTTGCGTTAAAGATTGTGACATCCTTCAATAGCACAAAAAATAAATAATAATAAATTAAGAAGAAAGAAACAAGGAAGCCCTAGATCTGCTGAGGCACTTACTGCACAGCCAGTCTTCAAGAGCTGACATGAACATCTACTTCAGTAGACAGTCCCAGAGACCTCTCACAGCCCTGTTACCCCATGCCATACACCCCAGAAAAGGTTTTTAACTTTATGCAATGTGCAATTCCCACTTTTCTTGGCTCTTCCTCCTGTATGGGGTCAGTTCCAGTGATCTGTAAACAAAGCAAGGACTGGAACCTCTGCTTGTTTTTCTGCACCTATAATGCCAGTTGTCTGAATTAGCAAGGCATGATCACAGTCTTTACTGCCCCTCTAATGTTCAGCTACCCATTTTTCAGGTTTTAAAAATTTTTCTCTGAAATACAAGCTTTTTAGTAGGCTTTTGCATTACTTCAATCCACTTACTTCTAAGCCCAGAGTTTCCAGTTTTATTATGAAATATGCTAATGTCAAGAGGGTCCAAAATTTAAACATACTCAGATGAAACATTTTTAAACAAAACTATACAGCTGCACCTAGATAAGAAAAAACAAGTGAAAACATTCAAACTTAACATGAAAGAGGGAAAATCCTCAGACTAAGGCCCTACAGAATACTTGCAATAATTGAGATTGCAATACCTAAATGGGGTTGAGTTCACTACCTAAGCAGCAAAGGCACTGTTTACTAGTAGCCCGGAGAATATTCTAGACAAAATTCTAAATTTTTTCAATATTTTAAAATAAAAATTCCAAAATCTGTACATGAAATAACATAATTCCATTTAAAGCCATCACTTTACTTTCTCCTAGATTTTTGGATTGTATACATATCCTTTTTTGAGGGAAGACTGATCTCCAAGCAAGCAAACATTCTTCAGTTCTTAAAAGAAACCTATCACTGATAGTGATAGCAAGTCAGTAGACATAAGTATCCACTGGCACAATGTCTAAAAGTAGGGCAAGATGCAAACAAACCTTAATAAATAAATTATTAAGACTAATTACAAACTTAGCAGTGGAGTAGTCACCTGTATGCTGTACAAGAGACGGGTTAAGTTCTGGATTGCTTGCACAATCTAGAAAATAAAAGAGAAGGATTTTCAAAGATTTGACCACCATTAACTAAATAATTACTGCATTCTGTCTGGGGTTTAAATAAACTCACCTCTGTACCTGTAGATCCTAGGAAATGCATACTTCCTCCCTAAAATAAACACATGTTGCTTTAAAAAGTATTTTGCTTTAAAATTGCATATTATATTTTATTTTACTTTATTTTAAACTAGTGGAGACATTCGTATTGCTAATAGATGCAGTGCTGAGTCAAACCTTTTTGTGGGCATGTGAAAAAAGACAGAAGCAATAACCTATGAAGACTAATAATTCATCAACACTGGAGTTTCCGTGGAAATCACTGGAAAGTCTAAGCACAACTGTAAAAACAAAAATATTTCATCCACAATTTTAATCCTCTTGTGACTTATGCTACACAGAAAAGACATTTCCATTCATTCTTTGTTTACGCGATGGTTTTGAAATACAGAAACCAGACTTCTGTATATACAGCATAGTAGCTTTAGATTACTTATAGTAGGATGAAACAGCACAACACTTTTCAAAAACAGAAATATTAATGTAGCAAGCCTATAGCAGAAGCGGCATTAGTGGGTTAATGCAAATGCCTTAGATGTGCTGTGAGGCACTGGGCAGAGGCTGCATGCCCACTGTACCCTGCAAAAGGCATCAGCATAGTTACTACTGTCCACTGCAGCAAGGCTCAGCTGCTTCACACTTTCCACCCTGCTCTCTTTTCCTAAGAAGCTTTTTAAATTTATGGGGTGAAGCCACCCATAACCCCTTCAGCATGAAGAACAGCTCCTCTGAGAAAGATAAAGTGAAACAGTGGAGAAATAAAACACAATCCCTTCTGAGGCTATGCTGAAAAGACTTCCTGTATGAGTTTTCTCTTTTCTTTTTTTCCAGAGGAGGACTTGGGGAATATTTGCTCTCTCTCTCTGATTCTCCTAAATTCTCTACTGAGACTCATTTTCCATTACAGAAAGCAAAGCAGGTGCTCCATTTAGCTGTGATAACTGAAGATGAAAAAGGCCAGGCCCTGAAACACAACTCAACACAGACAAACCTGGGGGGGGGTCGTGGGGAAGGGAGCACCAGCTGTGGCTTTTCCTCCCCTTTTCTCTCTCATCAGCTCCAGTATTTCACTGCCTTCCCTCCCCACATCCTCACTTCCTTCTCCACTTCTCACTGCACCCAGGAGCCATATAACTCCTGAGCTCTGCTGTGAGAAACAGAGGATTTTACATGGGTGCCTCTGCAAAGCACAAGGACAGACACAATGGAGCTCTGCTTTCCCTTGGCTGGGCGGCCAATATAAGCAGCAAGCAAGGAGGAAGAGCTGGGCCAAGAGTAAGAGAGAAGAGAAGAGGAGGAGATGCTAGCAGCATGAGGTGAGGAAGAGTGAGTGTACAAAGAAGAGCTCACATGCTGAACAAGAGTGAGGTCTCTTTCAGTTTTTTAAGCCCTTTTTAATACAGTAAAGGGAAGGGTACAGGGGTAATAAAGGTTTAACTGGCTTTGGCACAGCCACAGACTAGCAAGTGGCCAGCCCAAGCGCCTGTGGTCTGCTCTCTGCAGGACTACTGGAGCGCTGGAGGATGAGCCCAAGGCAGGCTTAGTCAAGCTAGTTTGGGTGACAGCAGTATCACCACTGCACTGGTACAGCTTCAGCACAAGCCCTCTAGTTCCAGCTAAGTCTGAAGCCACACGTTCAGCTCTTCAACCTGTGCTGTGAGCCATCGTCACCTCTCTGCCACTCTTCCCCAGCACCTTGTGTCAGAGAGATGAGCAGCAGTGGAGCTGAGGATGGGCAGACTGCAGGGCAGGCTGTGTGCTCCCTGCCTCAGAGGTGTGATTACAAGGCAGAAGCAGGGGCGACAAGATAAGGACATTCCATCACAGCTGACTACTTGGGACCTCATGTGTTGTACAGGGTCTTCCTTCTGATGCTTGGTCAGCATCGAACCCCTCAGCTAGGGTCTTTTGCTTCGGCTGTCTGGCCCTTGGTTTCCCAGGCCAGCTGACCTGAGTTCAGTGCTGCCATCCCACAAACTCAGGACTGCACAACCAGAGACCAAAGGCAGGCATCAGAACAGCCTCCGTCCTGGAAAGCCCTGGCCTTGAGCGTTTTGTTTGGTCGTTCTGCCACCTCCTGGCAAGTCTGATTCTGACATGTTAAGATGTGACAGAGTCTTGCCCAAGGGCCAGCCCAGAACAATAACAGGGTGGAAGAACTTGCTGTGGACACATATTCCAACTACAGCTCAAAGCAGGGCTATCTTCAAAGTTAGATGAGGTTGCTCAGGGCACTGCCGAGACAAATCCCACAAACCTCAAGGATGGAGACCCCACAGTCTGTCCAAACAACCTGTTCCTGCTTGGTTACTCATGTGGTGTGGGGTTTTTTTTCCATATATACCACCAGGATTTCCCTTGCTGCAACTTGTAACCTTGAATGTCAATCCTTTTGCTTTGCAATTCTGACAAACGTCTGGCTCTGTCTTCTCTATATACCCAATGGCAACGTTTTCATGTGGAGCTACTGGAATTTTTAAGGGGCTAGAACTGAGCCCTCTACTAGGTTACTTCATTTCCCCTCTGCTAGCTTCTGTTTTCCCTCACTTGGACTTTTGTTTTTATCCCATTTTTTCCACACACACTCTTCTTCCTACTCCCTTCTAACACAGCAATCTGGCAAATAAGATGACCTAGAGCTGAACACAAGGTGAGGCTATAGTGAGATTAGTGTATTAGCAGAAATCATTCAGAAATAGCTATGGAAAAAAAATACCAAGGTTTCAGGGACACAAGCCCTCTTTCAGATCTGATGCTAAAACAGCATCCTAACACTAAGTATCTCATTTTACTAGAAAACTTTGTGTTCCATTTCAAGTCATGTATCCTCTAATTTTGTCTGTCCCCATTATTCCTTTCATGGTCCTGCTTCTCCACCTAAGAACTCAACAATTATAGTTCACTTTATTTCCACACAGTAATTATTCTGCTCTTACTCTAACACTCTGCTACTACATTAAATTTGCCACTCTTAATTTTGCCCAGAACTGACTTATGATTCTTCTTGTTCCCCAGACTTGCTTATCAGTTACAGGACTTTAAAAAAAAAGGCAGTTTCTCTAACTGCTGCATTTTGTTTTAATTCAAAATTCTGAAAAAAAGCTGGTGTAAAACAATCCATCCTATTTTATGTGCTTGTTCTCATGGACCAGTTCTTCCAATGCATAAGTCTTCCTTGCATTAGTTGAGGTCTCTGTCATTGCAGGCAACTTTCATCATCCTGTGATTAGGAGAAGGGAGCAGAGGGAATTCTATTGTCAGCTCCACAGAGGTGGATGTATTGAATGATGACAACAGAGAACCAAGCTGACAGGTGGACAAGAACACTGTGGCTTTTTTTACAACCCACTGATCTGCCAGCCCCGCAGGAAAGTTGTTCTGCACTTGGATTGCTTACGATTGCTCTTTAAAATTCCATTATTAGTTGCAGTGACCTCTGTTACACTGAATTATCTGGATTTGGGTGAAATGTGCCTATCTCATGCTTTGTGTTTTGAAACAGTCTTTATATACCCCATAAAATTTTGAATACCATTACTGATCTGCCAGCCCCGCAGGAAAGTTGTTCTGCACTTGGATTGCTTACGATTGCTCTTTAAAATTCCATTATTAGTTGCAGTGACCTCTGTTACACTGAATTATCTGGATTTGGGTGAAATGTGCCTATCTCATGCTTTGTGTTTTGAAACAGTCTTTATATACCCCATAAAATTTTGAATACCATTTACATTCCCAGTGCTCAGAGTGCTACAGGCAACACAGAAAGAAAAAATTGTTTACAATACCTTAGCCTCTAGATTGGCACCTGCCATTTCCTTCTCAACACTGACATCGACTTCAGATGATTCTTCAACTTCTTTTATTTCTGCATCTAACAAATAAAGCCCCAATAAAATATGAGAAAAAGAAACAAAGGGGATACTTTCTAATGGCCATTCACAGAATGCTGAAAATAGAGATTCGTGTAATTTGATGTTACATAATGGATTCTAGGCTGAGACAAAAACAAGTTTGGAAGCCAGGATGGCACAGGTGGAACAATCCAGTCTTCCCACCTTAAAAATTAGTAGTATTTCACTTACAAAAGTTTGGAGATAAGTAAAATCATATAACTAAAAATGCTCTACAGCAATGTTTTTACAGGACTTTATTTTCATCTTTGTTGCAAGAAATTCACGCTACCCTTTATAGCTGAAATTAATGTCAATCCTGGCTTTCAGGCCTTTTGATAAATTAAAATTGTCCACTTACTTCAGTGAAGTTATATCACTGTGTGAGCATTTGCCCAAAGACAACTTTTATTACATTATTTTCTATTGATTCTGCCGTGAACTGAGAAAGCTTTCCAAAAAAACCAACCCAGTATCAATTATTTTAGCTCTATGAATATGTAAAATCATCGAATTTTACTCACCACCAGGAACAGATTCCAAGAGTTCATTGGCACTAAATCTCTGTTTCACACTTAATTCTTCAATACTTTCCTCTGGTGATTGGTCTGTTTCGCTCACTTGTGATGTTGTTACAGCAACATGGAGACTTTCAACTAGAGAAGAAAACATGTAGAACTACAGAGGCCCCTTAAATAGCTCCTTAAAGCAGAAATCACTGACAGAATCATAGAATCATTTAGGTTGGAAGAGACTTTTCAGAGATCATCTTATCCAACATCCTACTCAAAGTTGGTCAAACTAAATAGGGTTGCTCAGAGCTTTGCACAGGCAAGCTTTTAACATCTTCAAAGACGGAGATTTCACAGCCTCTCTTGGCTGTGTTTTTGACTGTCCTTATGGTATATAATTTTTCCTTTATTTAATTAGAATTGCCCATGTTCCAACTTGTGCCTTTTGTCTCTTGTCCTATCAGCTCGTTCCTCCACAAAATCTCTGGCTTCTCTCTAGCTTCCCCCTATTAAGCAGCTGAGGACAGCAATGAGATCCCACCAAGCCACCTTCTCTCAAAGATCAACAGTCTCAGTCTTTCCTCAGACATCATGTCCCCTAGTAATCTTGGCATCCTTTGCTGGATTTGCTCCAGATTGTCAATGTCTCTTTTGTCCAGCACAACCCAGCATTGCTCACAGCACTTATACAACTCACTAGGGGTGAGTAGAGGAAGGATTACCTCCCTTAACTTGCTGGCAACTCTCCTTCTAAAGCAGCAGCTGGGGAGGCAGTTGACCCTCTCTGCCACAAGGGCAAATTGCTGTCTCATGGTCAACTTGCTGTCAAGCAGAACTCCTAGGTCCATATCTGCAAAGCTATTTTCTATCTAGTCAGTGTCCAGTACGAACACATGGCACTACCTCAGCTCAGATGTAGGACTTTGCTCTCGTATTGTCAAACTTCTAAGGGTTCGTCTTAGTCCATTTTCCCGATCTGTAGAAGTCTCTCTAGCACACTGATCACTTTGCATCATTTTGTGACCATGAATTTGCTAAGAGTTTACTCAACCCATTGGTTAACTTCATTAATAAATACGTTGAACAGCATTAGTCTCAGGATCCATCCTTAAGGGAATCCTCTAATAACATGTTGCTAGCTGGACATCCTATCAGTGCTCACAATCCTATCAGCCCAGCAATCCAGCTGGTTTTCCATTCAGTTATGCAGTCCAAATCTCACCAATTCAGCTGTAAGGATACTACAGCTACTGCAGACAGTGTTGAAGGCTTTGCAGAAATCAAGGTAAACATGCATTGCTCTCCTCTCATCATAAAACCCCTTAGGTTGCTCAGACATAATTTGTCCTTGATGAATCCATGCTGGTTGTTTCCAGTTACCTTCTTGTTCTTCATGCTCTTGTAAATGGCTTTCAAGAGTATTTGCTCTATCACTGCCTGAGAGATGGCAGCGAGGCTGACTATTTTGTAGTTCCCTATATATTCCTTCTTGAAGACGGTGTGATGCTTGCCTTCTCAAAGTCATCAGGAACCTTTCCTGATCACTGTGACCTTTAAAGGATCATAGAAAGCAGCCCCACAGTGACACTGGCCAGCTCCCTGAGCAGCCTTGGATTCATCCCGTCCCATCTGATGGATTTGTGTATATCCAATTTGTTTAAGCACTCTCTAATTCTATCCTTCCCTACTGTGAGCAATGCCTTATTCCTATATAGTTTGCTGTTAGCTCAGGGACTTAGTATTTCTGTTCTGGAAAATGATCCCCACAAATTGCCTACAGAGGAAACAACTGTAAATTCCTTACAGTTTCCTGAGGAGTCCTGAAATCCAATACATCATCAGCATCAACATCAGCATGACAGAGAGTGAAAATTAGAAGTGGGCAGAATAAGGTGTATAAGTATAGGCTTTCATTTTAGATAAAATGGCATTTACTATTGCATCACTGATCTGCTGCGATCATCTGCAGTTGGGTCTGTATTTGATCCTACAAGATTTTGATCTATCACCAAATCAAGCAAGGTAAGTGAATGTTGGGGAGCAGATGTAATGTCATCCTGCATCCTGTGATCTGCTTCACAGGGTTGTACTAGGAGGATGACAAATACAGAAACAATCCTCAGGTGCAACCTAACACCATTTCCCTGCCTGCTTATATATGATATTATGCGCTGAACGTATTTCTTATCTTACAAGTTATCAGGTGCCATCTCTTGCATCTGACAGTTAAAAACCTGAAATACGTCTCTTACATGCAAAGTTTTGACACTGCCAGTTCTTCAGACCTTACAGAAGTGCAGCACAATGCAACATGGCTGCACTTTTTTACCTTGAATTATCTGCCCACGTAAAGAGCCACCAGCCCACTCTTCCCATGCAAACTCACCTTCTCTGAGTGCTGCTGCCAGCAGTGAAGCTGCCTGTGGAGTTTCTCCAGAATCAGGTTTGATAAGGAGACGAGGTTCTACATGAACATCTGCAAACCCACTCATATCTCCCAGTTCTGCATAGATACACAACTTCTCTTCCAGATAACTACAGATCTGCTGATCCTGGTTACTCAATGATTCTGTCAATCAAAATTGAACACTATATTTTGATCCTGCAGGCAAAGCACGTTCCTCATTCACCCTTCTAACCCATATGCCACATAGACATTGCTAACTCAAGCTAGCCTTTTTTAAGTGGCAGGAACCAAATTCATGCCATTGTTTGCTCTAATGAAGTCTGGCACAGACCCTGGCAGAAGGTCAGGCCAGTGCCTTACCCTGATGAGGTGGACTTATAAAAAATTCTTAGGTCTGGGGCCCTCAACTACCTCCTGTTGCATTCACAATGATCAATGCCAGAAAAGCATTTGGCTCAGGCAGCCAGAAGGTATACTAGTTCAGTACCTCAACATCAAAGATCATCATCTGCTCCCAGCAGATGGATGCCCTTCCCTGTGGCTCTGTACAGGAAGGACATGGCTGAAATTTCTCTCCTCCTCACAGCAGTATAAAGATGTGGAGGTTAGGTGTAGAAAAACAAAGAAGCATAATTTCTCTCCATCAGCTACATTTTCAGACAAAAATAATAATAGCAAAGGATGAAATGCCATAAACAAGCACAAAGTCACAAAATTGCTGAAGATTTGAGGTATCTCCACAAACATGGAGTTACCTGGCCCTGATGCTAATCTGGGAAAATCAGTGTTTATTCTGAAAGTATCCCTTTTTCTTTTTTACTCATGGTAATGTAGCAAAAATATAAAGTGTTTCGAAAAAAATAAATTAAAAATTTTTCTTTTTCAATAATCTCAGACTAAACCATCAGAACACCTCAGCTTTCTCTGCTGTGATTCTGCCTATCAAGCTACTCTGAACCCACAAGCCAGTAAAGGCACATGACTCATTCACCCTGAACTCTAAGGATGCAGGAGCTCTCAAGGTGTCAGGAAAGGTATCATACCTTGATATTTCTGAATTCTGGATGCTTTGGCTTCAGTGACATGTCTGTCCTCATCAGATTCATTCATTTTTCTTTCTTCTTCTTCCTCTGGACAACTTCAAAGATGAAAAGCAAAGGTGGATAAAGAAAAATCTGCATACCCTATATTCATCTTCAGTACAGTGTTGCATTCATAAGAAATGGAAAACAACATCAGCACCAACTTCTACTACAATCCAGAAGAATGTCACTTGTCTGCTTCTTTAAAAAGCAGTAACTGGAGACAAACCAGACAGAAGGACATATTTTAATTCTGTTAAGGCTGCATTCATGCGGATTAACTGTGCTAAGCATAAGTTTAAGCCCCACGAGGAGCATTGCTTTCCTTGCCATTCTTAAAGAGCTGACACCATAATAACAGGCATGATTGGGGATTTCCCCAAAATGGTTGCATGGACTCTGGAAAGCATCCAGTGCCAAAGGCAAAGGTGAGGGAAGCTTACAAGGGCTGCTAGGGACATCTAATGGAGAGTGGGATGGGTCTGCTGATTTAGTGGGAAACCAGAAGGGAGATGGGAAGTTCAGCAGAAGTGATGGTAGAGTTTTGGAGTCTGTGAAGCCTGAACTCAGAGTTAAAAGACAACCTCATAGCAAGGATCCAGTGCAATGCAGAACAGCAAGCATACTGCCACAATATCCAACCAACCTCCTCTCTACTTTGGACTGACAGGATGAAAAACAAAAGCTTTTTCCTCTACCTTTCCACTGCATCTTGAATATGCCTCATCCAGTTGTTACGTTCCTCTTTAGAGTTGGTATGAACTTCATACATCTCAGGCCCTGCAGATGAAGCACTAATCAGAAACATCCCCCTTTCTTCGTTGGCTACTTCTCTTACTATGAGCCTCTGAAGAGAGATAACAGAAGGCTTCTGGTCCTGGAGGAAACACACAGAGCACTTGTAAATAATAAATTACTCTCTTTTAATACATCACACTTTTAGAAGAGCACAGTTTTTCAATTAATTGGACTAGTTCTAGGCCTGGTGCACTCAAGACTACACATGTTCTTGCCAAGTGTAAGAGGCTGCAAATTTTGAGTATTCAGACATCTTTTTAAACTATTCTTAGAAACACCTTACAGTATTTCCAAACAAGTAAGGCACCGGGTTATGTGTTAGCAAGTAAAACTCAGAAGGTCAATGATACTGAGCCACAGTATTCATATAATGTTCATGTTCATATACTTTGAGAACTTCTCTCTTTGACCTTTCACACATTTTACTTGTTTGCTATTACATTTGCAGTAATTCTTCTGCTTTGTTTTACAGAACCCAAAGTTTAAACTTATTTAGATAATTGAAAGAGCCTGCTCTACTTCATTCCTTTATAATCAGATAAGGCATGACACTAAAAATGTAATTCTGTTAATTACCATCCTTCTTCCTTAAAAAATAATTTTATTTTGAAAAAATAAACTCAATCTTCCATATACTGCATATTACTGTTCTGAGTACACTACCAGGATTTTTATTTTTTTAAAGAAGAATAACCCAGAAAATAACATCACTTTTGAGAAATATACAAATAAAAGTGTAATGTATATATTCAAACATCTAATAATATACTTACAACAGCTGCAAAGATGTATTTTTGATCTTTTTCATGTAAGAACAGTAGAACATCAGTCAGAAGCAGAGCTAAGGTGTCTTAAAATGAGAAAAGGGAAATAATGGTTTTTAATTAAAGCTATTACAATTACAGTTAATTTCGTCTTTTATCTTCAAAAAGGGAGAAGCCTTGATAAATAAATATCCCACAGAATCCTACAGTAAGCTAAACAGGAAATATCTGGATTAGCCTATGTTCTGCATGAAGCAACTGCATGCCATAACTTTGTATGACCCAGGAAAGACCACACTTTCTGCTGCCTACCATTCTGCAGCACCATGCTGAGGCACTGGCCCAGGGGAAAAAGAAACCCTCACTTCAATGATAGCACAGCTTCACCAAGCTACTCATAGGCAGCCTTGCAAAGACTAACCCACATAAGTTTTGTTTTGCCTATGCTGTAACATACACTGACAGCACAGTATTACACTGGTAAAAGTATTTATTAAATAATATAAAAAATAGCTTTATGAGGTTGCACAGAAAGTACCAGTAAGCTTCAAAAAAACCCAACCTCTACATTTGATTAACACAAAAAATCAAATTCTGGGCTTGCACATACAAATCAGACTCTAGCCAAATGTGCCTACAGATTTTTTTTTCTGAGTATGTTCCAGTACCACAGGAGAACAGCACATAAGTGATAAAGTATCTTAATTCTTAAACCAAACAATCTTCATATGTTATTTGCAAATAAAGGGTTAAAGGACTTAACTGCTCAGACAGAATACCTTTGAAACGACCAGTTGCTGTCTTCCAGTACACTAAGCCTTCATGCAGAAGAATCCTCTCTTTCCGCACCAAGTCTTGCTTCCTGAAAACATGGCCATTTTTCAGTTTTGTGTATGTTTTGTTTTCAGTTCTACTGAGAATTTCCAACAGCTTTTGCTTTTTCTCATACTCATTCACTTTCAAATCTACTGCTGCAATCATGTCCTTAACTAGACAAAGAGCTTTGCACAGGTCTTCATGTTCTTCTGTTCCTTCTGTATGAAGTAAAAAATAAACAACATGTCAGTAGTTAGCATATTCAAGAGAAGATATTAGTCCTTACTTCCTGGCAACAATAACAGGATGCAAATCTTAAATTGATAAATATGTCATTTTAAGTTGAAACTGGCAATCAGTTTACTAGAAATATTAGAGGCATCTATCTTTGTTTTACTTGCCTGTTAAAAGATGACACAATCCTCAGATTTACTCTTTAGGCAAAAAAACACATTGAATAGTTTCTGACATATTTATAAGCTATTAGCACATTTTAAAAGTTACTGGCTAAGTAAGTCAAATTACTCTTCTGACTAAGTGAAAAAACACCCTGAAAGAGGATTGCAAGCACAGAGGTTTTACATTTGGATATGCAGCTTTCTACAACACTTATTGCTCATTTGTGGGGCACTATCTGTAATATATTAATATTTCTAAAAGGTTCTACGAAATTCTAGAGGTCATTCAAACTTTGTTTGAAAAACTGGAAAGCAATTTATGAAATGTTTGTTTAGCCTTACTTACAAGAGACTCCACCAGATTTAATTTCAAAGAAGGTGCAGATGCATGTCTGAAGTAGTTCACCGTCTCTATTCAAGATCGTTTCTTAAAACAAGTATGCTTTTCTGGACTTCTATGGCTTACCCAGCTGGAATACTGGAAATCTTCACAGTCTGGCCTTGACAAAGACTACACACACTAGACACCTTGTTTAGGTGACATCTGCTTTAACAGTACTTTTTTATGTTGTCCTGGTTCTCTACAAAGCAGTGAATTTTCTCTTTTGTTATACTGTAGTAGTGCATATTCCTTACATTAGAAACATACTAAGATTCTGGACATGAAGCAACACTTCAGCTTTTACTCACCTTTTGAGTATTGCAATATCCTTTCAACCAGAACAGGGTATTTGGTGATTCGCTGGGTGACAAGCAAAATACACTCCGGAATTCCACGGCGCCGTGCCAATAGGTTACTATTTCTCAGCTGCATAGATACAAATATATACTATAAGTAGCAAATGCATATTAAACCCCCAACTGACTAATAAGAAATATGATCCAAATGCATTAAAATAACCTAAACCAAAATGCTGGGCTATCTGAAGCATCCCCAAGGAACAGTTGCTGCCCTGAGGGATGAGGTGTACTGTAACAAGAACATGTGTGTAATACATACTGGATGCCAAAGGTTTCTAAAACTTGAAAGAAAAATACAATTTATCAGCTCAGTAGTAAAGAGGGAAAAATAATTGCCATTTTTGTTAGCTATTAGAAGTGACTTAATGAATATAATTTCAATCCTAAATCTAAGTAAAAGCTACATATCTTTTCCCTGAGCATTTTGTCAATAGTGATCACATTTCCACATAAACTTACTTTAATAAAATTCTGGAACTTCTTGTTTTGTTGCAACTCTTTGAAGAGATTAACAGCTTCTTTCTGATGGCTGCAAAATTGCCCGTATATTTCCTTCATTTTAGTTGCATTTTCCTCTGAAAACTGTAGAAAGTAATAAGTGGATTGTGCTCAACATTGCACCTAACAGGAAAGTGTATATTTTTAATTAACGTACAAATACTGAAATTTTATGCTATTTGTTTATCAAGTTCTCTGAATTTCACTATCAGGGCCTGTCACTACAGGATGAAAACAGGCTAGGAGAAAGAAGAGAAATGTAAGCTGGAGAGAGCACACGTGACCTCCACTACCTGCCAATATCAGCTAGAACAATTATTATAACAATATTCCCTTCACCTCTTTGCAAACACAATCCCCTTGAGGTTTACTTGTATTTGTCTGATCTCCACACTGCCTATAAGATAACAGTTCATCTTCTTCATGTCAGCAGAGTGACAACTGACTGACTGAAGGTGAAAAAATGCACTCTCCTCATTGCAAGGAACTTAAATGTCACCATCAAGCAGTTAGCTGTTCAATGACCAGCATCAATATGCCATGATCACCCCTTCTTTAGTGAGCAGCAACTCAAGATGCACCATGACAGAATGCAACAAGAAATTAACTGGTTGTTTCTTTTCCATCATCAGTCAATTCTTCACACCTCTGCTGAGCTGTCAAAAAAGTAAATCCATTTCTTCCGTTTTTTGCAGTCTATGGTACGACGGCAGCAGCCTTCTGCTAAGAATAGGATCAAGTTTATTACCTTCCTCATCACTTGTTCCATGTAGGAAGAAATTCATCCCAAGTACACCACAGTTACCTGTCAGTAATTAATTTACCTTGTTGCTGTTTCACTCTGCAATAATCTGGAGGGGACAGTCTTTGAATTTTATGAGGCAACCACAACCCACTTCCTGCCCACGCAAGTTTTAAAGTCAATAAATTGCTTAATTTGGGAATCTTGAGCACATAAAGAATTAAGAGGGATTATATGGCTACCTGCTGCACAAGGATGTCTCCAATTCTGCTGATGACAAAATTACGTTCGTTCCCTGCTTCACGTGATTCTTGCCGTCTCTCCTTCATTCTGCAGAAGAATTGCCTGTGCATCTCCAGAAGCTCATCCAAGCAAGGGAATATTCTGTCCACTGTGCTGTGGTCCAGCTGCAGTTCTTCCTTCATCCCTTTCCTGAATATTTCAGACATAATGAAGAGGGTATGGATGTGATGCACTTCTGTTTGCATCAGCTCTGCAGTATAAAAGAATACAGCACAGTATAGTAATCAGCTGAACATTTTGCACAACTGCTAAGGATTCAAATAAATAAAGATTTCCAAATAGACATTCATAATAATTTGTTTTGTGTGAGCCTCAAACCTAATAGACTGTATCAGCAGGA